GGAGGGGGGGGGGGGGGAGCTTGAGACTTGAGAAAAAAACTTAGAAGTTTGAGAATGAGTTGAAGTCCAGCATTACTCCTGCAACCGTCGATCGCCATTGGTCACAGTTGACTGCCATCGATCTTCGCCGACCATCGCTGACCACCACTTACCGCCCTCCACCGATTACAATCGGCTGCCGCCCACTTCTTACAACAAATACATTAACTCATTAGCGTTTTAATTCGAAAGACTTTGTAATCCTTTCACACCTGTGAGATAATGAGTCTCTGTAATCTTCAACTTATAGTGAATTTTTTCAACAGGATTAGGGTCAGGCCTTGTGATTTTTGGCTCCACATAAAAAATTTTTGGTGTCTCTACTTGTTTTTTTTATTTATTTGAGTGCGTGTTGAATTCTCGCGCAACGCTAAGACGTTAATTCATTACTCTACCACTACGAAATTTCTAGCATGGATCAAGTCTCACGTTTTAAGATCCCAAATTAGCGTCGGTCGTATCCCCATTTAAGCAATCATCTTTCCTGAAAATATAAAAACAAAAATCAATTATTATTATTATTATTTCATATATTTTTTTTTTGAATGAATTTAATCACAACTACTGCATGCACAAAACTGTGAAATTAAAATTAAAAGAATAAATTTTCAATCAATAAACTATAATTGCATGAAAAAGCACATATAACTGCATTCGATAATTTATTTACCGTACAGCAATCATGGATATAAGCCAAGCTGGATGACAAGATGGTCGGATGCAAACCCAAAATCCGAAATTTAATTTATCTGTTATTATTTCTTTCAAGAAAAATAAAATATCTAACTTTTTAAATTGGTAAATTTATCGAAATAATTGCGAAGTGCTTGGACAGCTTCAAATCGACAAAAACGGACGGTTTCATTTTCTTCTCTTGGTGGTCCACACTATAATTGTATGCGACATTTGAAACCCATAATGTCTCATATGCACAAAATTTATATATTAGATTTAAATCTCATTATTTTGTTCGGGCAGTCAATCTGATTTTGAGCCGAGTTAGGATCGGCTTGAATGGGTTTGAACACGGTTCAAAATCAACTTATGGTTTGTTATAAAAGAGCCGGCTCAGATTGCATTATTTAGATCTGTTTCTGGTCAAAAATCAGAACGGGCTGGGTCATTTCGATTAATCAAGCTTAAAATGAATAAATAAATGTAAATTGTACATAAATCCTATCACTTGCATCCTATAATTTTATGGGAAATTTAGAAACATACTCAATACTTACATATTTACATATGTAACACCTAAACTTTAATTTTTACATACGTACCATCTTACATATGTTTGAAAATGTGTATTTGTTAAAAGTTAAAATGGAGATATTTTTTAAGTGATATAAGAGATTTGCGTGGTAAAAATGTAAATAAGTAAAATTCAGTTGTTTGGTATGTAAATACATAGGAATTTGGTGGTACCTATGGAAATGACCCAAATTTCATTTAGTGTTCTAATATATCATATTATATTAGATACATTTTTTTTATAAAATTAAATGATTTGAGCCCATGTCGGCCAATCTAAGCGTGACTAGAAATCAGCTCCAAAAAAATTCGATTCATACCAGGTGGGGTCGGCTACATGAATCATTTTTTATCATGAGACCTACTTGTCTAATCGAGTCAAATTTTCCGAGCCAAGCCAATAAAGCCAAAGCCGATCGAACCACGAGATGGACCAAGGAGGACCGGAGGATACAAGAATGAGTCACTCCGTTAGAAACGAGACAATAAGATATCCAAGTCGATCCAAAGAAAGATTTGGTTCCCTAGCATCTCCAACCATTCCAGAGGCACCAAGAGGTTCGTCATCATGTGTCAAGGATCAACAGTGAGGTTATATCAATCAGCTGACCTATATCGACGAAGCTCAATTGACTGAGTTGATATCATTCAACCAAACAGATCTTACTGGCTCGAAGCCAATTAAGATTATTCGACCAAGCTAGAGAGTAGTCAGCAATAAACCCATACTTGCAAATATGTCGGAAATATCTCAGTGCGAATCCCTTTAAGTAGAGACAAGAATGCGACATCTTCATTTCATACTCTCATCTCTTATAAAAAGAGGAATCATTTCACGAATGAAATGAATATTTATACGTTTGATTACAACGTATTAACTCTTTCAGTCCCTCTTTTTATTCACTCTTTGAGTTTTATTCATTGATAAATCGGAATCAACAATAGAAGACCTTAATTTATGAGCTAATTCACAAAGTGTGAGTTTCCTTATTTTCCTCTCCAATTACCATAGTAATTATAGTCATAAAGTCATTTGATTCTGCCCAAAATTTCATTCAAGACGACCTAATTTGATTTGATTTTTATCTTTCTAATCACCCTCATTTTGATACAAAATTAGCATATCATCTAAAAAATTAATTTTCTTTTGAAACAAAATCGAAGAGTTCACCTGAAAAAATAATTTTTATTTGATTTTCAACCACCCCAAGACAAGAAATAAAAATAAAATTAAAAACAAAAAAGTTAAATTTGAACCCAAAAAAAAAAAAAAAGGAAATTCAAAACCAATCATGCTGATCCCCCCACATCTTCTTTCTGGTGGGTGCCAAATCTCTTTACGCTCGAACCTTCCCACCACGCAGCACAGCTCACTTGTCCTGTACTGTCTCCTCTCTTCTTCTCTGCAACTTTTCCCAATCCCATCTCCTCATCACGCTGCCTCCCAATATCCTTTCTTTCGTTCTCTCTCTCAAAAAATTCGATAGGAAACAAAGACTCATGCTTCGTAGTAACAGCTCTAATGGCGGAAACCCTATCAATAGCGTCAGCATAGTATGGTTCAGAAGAGATCTTAGGGTTGAAGACAACCCAGCTCTTGCAGCTGGGGTAAGAGCTGGAGGCGTGGTGCCTGTCTTCATATGGTCTCCAGAAGAAGAAGGACACTACTACCCCGGTAGGGTTTCAAGGTGGTGGTTAAGCCAAAGCTTGAGGCATCTTGATTCCTCCCTTAGGAGCCTTGGGGCTACTCTCCTCACAAAGAGGTCTTTTGACACCGCCTCCACTCTCCTTCATGTTTTGAACGCTACTGGTGCAACCAGCCTTTTCTTTAATCATCTATATGGACAGTCCGCTTTCCCTCCTATGGAAAGAAAGAAAAAAAAGACAATCTTTAATGATTTCAATTTGTTTCATTCATTGCTCCTCTCTCTCTCTCTTCCTTTTTTGCTGAGCACTTATTTATTTATTTGTTTATGGACATGTGATTCAATGATTTCAAAATTATTTGGATTAAGGCTATCTTGTTATTCAAATTGCAAGGTTCATTCTGTTCAGTTTTTCTTTAGATTCGTCTCCTTTTTACAGTAGCAGCCCAATTTTTAAATCTTCATTGTTCCTGAACTCAAAATAACTAAAAATTTTTACTCTGCTTTAATTCGCTTGTGTTCCACCAATTGATTTATGAATGAAGTGCTTGATTAGCTTTATCTATTTATTGATATTCTGTTCTAAGTCTTTGCAGTTTGATAAAAAGTTCAAGTTTTTTATTTTTTATTTTTTATTCAACAACTATGCTGTTTATAAAAAATATATATATATTTTAGATTCTGCCTACTTTTATGTCTGAACTTTATGTTTGCTAACCGCTTAACTTCAGCTGGAATCAATAACAAACATAGATCTTGTTGCCATTTCTAGAACTACAGTTGCTCTTTGGTTGAGAATACAATCATAAGAGTACTTGGTCTAATTTTTTTTCTATGATAGAAAAGATAGTTTAAAATGAAATTAACATACATACCACACAATTCTTATGTATTTACATATCTAAAACCCAACATTTGATATTTACAATTATAATACTTTGGTGGTTTTTAAAAAGTTAGTAATAGTAGTATTTTTTATTTGATTTTAAATATTTGAATGGTATGCATGTAAATATCACAGTTTAGGGGTTAGATATGTAGATATATAAGAATTGTGTGATATGATATATTGCTATTGAAAAAAAAATTGTATTAGGATATCCTGATATGTCTTTTTGTCTGATCAATGTGGGAAGGTATATACTCAAAGTAGATCATATATAAACAAAAAGAATGAAATCTAACCAGAGAACAACTTTTAAGCATTTAGTTTCTTCTATTTCTATTTAGAGGTCTTCTAATTATGATAATCTATTGTGTTTTTCTCGGTTCTTTTTAGCATATGAAGTTATCAGCTTGTCTATTTATGTTTTGTTGTATATCCCTTCCTATTGAATTCCTCTCCTCTTCGAATCATTTATATGATTCAGGAAGGAGATTTGTTCGAATAAGGGAATCGTACGATGATACATAAATAGACAGACTTGAGAGTCCAAAGTACGAAACAATCACAGTCTCTTTTTTGAGACGGGACACTATCAACTTATTTTAATACAAGTTGTTTTATCTCACAGACCCTTTGTCTCTTGCGAGGGATCATCACATCAAAGATCTTCTAATTGCTCAAGGTTTCGCAGTTCATTCTTTCAATGCAGATTTGCTTTACGAACCATGGGAAGTTATGGATGAGAACGGTCGCCCATTTTCAACTTTTGCTCCATTTTGGAATAGATGTCTTAGCATGCCTTATGATCCTGCGGCCCCTCTTTTGCCACCAAAAAGGATTACATCAGGTTTGTTCCTGGGCAATAAATGACTTCATTGGCTCTATTAAGTTCATTTTTTCAAGATCATTTGACTGAGAATTTGTATTTTCCATTTGGATTTAATTATTCCTATGTAGTTTTTTTGAATAAGCTGTGCCTTCATGTTATGTTTTGTGGATCACTAGTGTTGGATGATTTGACAGCCATATTCAACTCAATATCTTAAGTCAAAAGGTTGCGGGAGCATAACTAGCTTATCAACATGCTCAACCTCTTGCAAGCAACTGACGTGAAATTGAATCCAATGAGTAAACACTTTGATGCACTAGCAAACCACTCATTCACCAAATACTTTGTAATGTTAGTTATCTTCTTGAGTTGCATGATTTTCTTATACATCATATTTCATACAACAAAGGCAAAACAAAGAGCTCGCACTAATATGGGTGCCAACCTTTGAGTTATGTGAGCATCCTCAATAATGGGACCAAAGTTGAGCAAAAAATACCAGTGGTCAAGCCCATTCTTAGCTAAAATGATTAAGCTTATGAAGGAAGGTTAACAACTTTATATTTCTATGCGAATATATATTTTAAATTTCTAATGTAAGATTAAGGTAAAGTTTCATATGTTTTAACAATTTCTTTCACATATCGATCGTTACTTCTTAAAGAAAATTGATGTAACACAAAAGGCTTGATCTTTTCCAACGTCAAAGTGGTACATCAAAATTGAAATGAGCATCATCATCATAGTTGCAAATCTCAAACAAGGCTTCTTTGGCTAGCTTCTTCCCCCAAGTCTAAAATTTAAGTGCTCCAAGTTCATTCCAAAGATGCCTTCGTCGGCTACTCCAAACAAAGATAAGAATGTTTGAAGATTGAGACCATTCTCTTTCCTTTTTTGTTTGTCCAAAATTTTCATTATGCATCTTTCTTTCATTTCATGTTATTTTCAGCATGCATCATGTATCATGCATTTATCCATTCCAACAATCCATGTTGAGTTGTAAGCGACAAAGTGAAAATTGGCCAATATAGGATTGGAACCCCGCGCACCATTCGATGCTTGATATGTAAGTTTGTTTGAAATTATTGTTGGATGAAATCAAATTGTTTGATTGAGAGCAAATTCTTAGTGAAGCTTGTGTGTGATCTCTAATCTCTTGGAGAAGCTTGGCGATCAATCTAAACTCTTGTGCTTTGGAGATTCAAGAGTTTTATCGTTAGATTTGTTTAAGATGATCCTTCCTTTCTGCCACACTTAAACTCTCGGCCCCTCTCAAGAGAACCATAGCTTAGCCACCACCTCAATCCCTTCTACAAGCCAGGCATACAAGTTTTACAATGCTACTGCACCACCCTATAACCAATCACCTATCCTAAGGGTGTTTCAGGATGAGCATGCTTAACTTTAGAGTTTCTAACAAAGCACTTATTGTTACACCAAAAGATGGTTTTACATTTAAGAAATCAGCTTAACTGTGGAGTTTCGGACAAAGCACCATGCTTCATCCTAAGGGATCTCACACTATTGGGCTTAGCTGGCTTGTTTTGATATATTTGAGTATAAGAAGCTTGATTAGGAGAGAAGGGGTTAGATATAACTTATATTCAAATTTATATTCATTTGACCTCTTTTCTGTCGAAGTTTACGGAAACTATCTTGTTGAACTTTGTAGCTATTCAGATGGAGATTGATCTCTACAGGCTTATATATACTCTTTCCTGTTTTATTTTTGCCTGAGATTACATTATATATTTGCTGGAGTTGATTATAATCTTCTTTTATTTTCTTCAGGGCTGTTGATTTAATTCATAAGATTTTTATGTAAATATTTGCACTTCCAACATTGTTCTTAAATTTAAAGAACTAGGATTCTGATGAACTTATAAAAATCAATAATTTTTTTAGGAAAATTTACATGCATACCACTCAATTCTTATGCATTTACATGTCCAACACCTAGGCTTCAATTTTTACTTGTATGACACCTTACATGTGCACGAAAAGGTGTATTTCGCTTTTTTTCAAGTTAAAATAGTGGTATTTTGATGTGATATGGAAAGAGTTGGGTGGTATAACCGTAAAAAGCAAGGTTTTGTTTGATATGTAAATACATAAGAATTAGGTGTTATGTATGTAAATATCCCTTTTTTTTTAATATCCAAAGAATGCTAGCTTTTTTATTTGAAACTGCAAGCCAAATCAATTCTGTGACTTAAGAGCTTTGCACCTTGTTTTAATTTTTTGTATTTTGTTCATACAAAAATGCTCCACATGCTGTTTTTTTTTTTCAGTTGACTAGGTAAGTCAAAGGCATAAGGCTAGCTGGAATTCTAGCCTATCGCAGTCTTTTTTTAAGCTTGCATCTATTCTTAAGCAAATGGAATCAAAACTTAAGTTTGCATCATTTAGGTAAGTCAAAGGCATAAGGTAGTAGTCAATCTAAATAATTTTTATATTTATCTCAAAAAATAATATACCATCTATTATTTCGATCAATGCTTGATTAATCATATAAATCTGAAATTATCAAAATTTTCCCTTGTGATTTCTTCCCTATTTGTCAAAACTTTCCTTTCTTAGACATAAATATCTCTGCTATGTCTGTTACTGCAAACCACAGTTGTTACAGAAAGGTCGAATCCAAGCTTTCCATTGTTGTTACAACAATAAATGTAATTGAGTGAAGCTCCTTCTTCCATAGGTGATATTTCAAGGTGCCCCTCAGACAATTTAGTATTTGAGGATGAATCCGAGAGGGGAAGCAATGCTCTTCTTGCAAGAGCTTGGTCTCCAGGATGGCAGAATGCTGATAAGGCCCTCAGTTCATTCATCAACGGGCCACTGATTTACTACTCAAGGAACCGAAAAAAGGCAGATGGTACAACCACCTCTCTCCTCTCCCCCCATCTACATTTTGGAGAATTGAGTATTCGTAAAGTCTTTCATCTCGTCCGAATCAAACAGCTCGTGTGGGCTAACGAGGGGAACGAAGCAGGAGAAGAGAGCGTCAACTTGTTTTTCAAGTCCATCGGCTTCCGGGAGTACTCAAGATACTTGAGTTTCAACTTCCCCTGCAGCCATGAAAGACCTCTACTTTCTCACCTCAGGTTCTTCCCTTGGGTTGTTGATGAGGGCTACTTCAAAGCTTGGAGACAGGGAAGGACTGGCTATCCCCTCGTGGATGCTGGAATGAGAGAACTTTGGGCCACTGGTTGGCTGCATAACTGTATCCGTGTGGTTGTATCCAGTTTCTTTGTAAAAGTTTTGCAGCTTCCATGGAGGTGGGGGATGAAGTACTTTTGGGATACACTTCTGGATGCTGATCTTGAAAGTGATGCCTTGGGTTGGCAGTATATATCTGGAACTCTTCCGGATGGTCGGGAGTTGGATCGCATCGATAACCCTCGGGTATATTTATCAGTTTTAGTTGAAATTTCTCTTTATTTTCCTTTATGACATTGTTTAAGTTGTTTATGGTGTTTTTTGGTGTCATGATAGAGTTTTGTTTCATGGTGTTGAACTTGATTTGTTAATGAAAGTCATATCTCACGCCTAAACTTTCATATTTACATATACAGTACCTTGCTGCTTTAAACCTATGCATGAAAAGGTGGATTTCACTTTGAAAAGTTGTGATTATGCTATTTTTGATGTGGTTTGAGTGCTATGTATGTAAATGCCCCTTCTTTTTTTTTTATCAGAGATGTTTTGGACTTTATTTATGATTGATATCCTTTTTTTTTTTTAATTTTCATTGAGCTTTTAACTGTTTTAAAATCTAAAACCAATGGAAGTTATTATAATGGCACACTAATGCATGTAGCTTTATGTACTATTCTATAAAAGTGTTCAATCTTCTGGCTAAAACTTCCGTTACTCTTCTTTTTCTAACTGATTCTACTTACAAAGTTTGAAGGCTACAAGTTCGACCCGGATGGCGAATATGTTCGACGCTGGCTTCCCGAACTCTCGAGGCTACCGACCGATTGGATACACCACCCGTGGGATGCACCTGAATCTTTACTCCAAGCGGCAGGCATTGAGCTCGGTTCCAACTACCCTTTTCCAGTTATAGAAATTTCTACAGCTAAACGAAGATTAGAGGAGGCTCTTACAGAGATGTGGCAGATCGAAGCCGCTTCGAGAGCTGCCATGGAGAATGGGATGGAAGAGGGCCTTGGCGATTCCATGGATTCGCAATATATTGAATATCCTCTTGAAAGGAATATGGAAGCCGAACTTGAGCATACTGGGACGAATAATATTCAAACCACAACCAGGAGGTACCTGGATCAGATGGTGCCCAGCATGACTTCTTCATTACTCAGAATTGAGGAGGAAGAAATCTCTGTAGATATAGGTGACAGTGTGGAAGATAGCAGGGCTGAAGTACCGTTAAATGCGAGTTTTGAAGCCCAGACTCATGGAGTTACAGATACAAATAGTACAATTCTACACCTCAGTCCTTCAAGGGTCGAGTTCTCGGAGGAGTCGTTGAGTAGTTACACAGAAAGGGGTCTGGTTCCTGTGTGGTCTCCTTCATCAGATTCAGTCCAATCGGAGCATTTTGTCACCCATGAAACTGGTGTTAGAAGTCGTGTTTATTTACAGAGGCATCCCCAGACGCATCAGATTACGAATTGAGACCGCTTTCTCCGCCGGTGTGAGTTTAATGAAATTTTCCTTACCTATCGTTATTTAGTTTTCTTATGATTAAGAGGTTGTTCGGATGGATGCAAAAGGAGTGTCAGGTGTTTGGTTTGAGGAAAATAGAATGTACAGTAAAAGTTTGAAGTGTTTCGAATTGACATATTAGTTCATTTTCAATGCATTCAGAATTCATCTGATTTTGGGTGAATTCGAAATATACCACAAGAGTGATGTTTTTCGGGTACCGACGCCCTCCAATATCCTCTGGCTCCCACCACCTACTGCCTTTATTTTACATTACTTTCATTTTTTCTTCGAACCAGACACAAAAGTTAACAAATGCATTTGTTTACATAGAGTCACATAACTCAAAAATATTTCAATTACACCGAATTCCTTTTACAATGTATAACTGTATTGTTTTTTCTATAAAACAAACAGCTAGCAGTCCTCATAATGAGCTTCTTTATTTTACTTGAGCAATTTTTCTTCTTTTGCTCTCTATTGCTTTCTTGTATTGATATTTACTCTATATAAGGTATTGCTGACAATAAAAAATTTCATCTAGCAGTTGGGAGGTGGAGAACACAGTACAGCCAAATGCTATCGGTTAGATTCTTATAATGGAAATCAGGTGTAAAAAATCCATCTTTTTGTTCCTCTCACTTTGCAGAGAATCAGATTCTGTAGAATATCGATGTACCACAAAGTTGCTGTATAGATGAATCTACCAGTGCTGTGCTATTAATCAGGTATCTTTAGTTTTATATGTGAGAAAAAATGTATCAAATTTTTATTTTGAAGCATCGTGTACCATAAAGTTGTGTAAATAAGCCTATCAGTGGTGTGTTATCATCAGATAATCTTGAGTTTGAGTGTTTGGTAAAACATCCAAATATTTTGCGGGAGCTTTATGCATAAAGTTTTTCTATAATAAGACTTGGAATTATGTCTTGTTTATCAGGTAATTTTAAGTTTACTGATCGCTTAGAAAAATATCAAGCTTTTATTTGTTAGCATCTTTCTTCACTCTACTTATTATAGTTTTGAGTAATGGTTAATAGTTTTCTCAGTTAACCACAGATTATATAACAAGCTGTAGGATTTAGTTAAATGTTTTTAATAGTCCTGTTTGAAATGATGCTAAGCCAATTAGATGCATATTCAATGATTAAGAGAATATTTATAAATAAAAAACTTAAATTTCCAATATGAAGGTTGCATGCTAGCATGAGATGAAAGAGATTAGTTTTGACTATATGTTGATATTATCTTTAAGAGTACCTATTATACTCCTGTGTGTGTTGAGGCTGTGAGATGAATGATGCCTTTGTTAAGTAGGGATATATAAAGGCTTATTACTTACTATTATTATGATATTTGACATTATTAAACGTCGACCAAATCATCTAAGACGACTCTCTCTAATCTTGTCTGCCAGTAGAGCTACACCAACCCTTTCATGAATAGATTTGTTTCATATTTTCTCTCTAATTGTCAAGCCACTCATCCACCTAAGCATTGTCATCTCAATAACACTTGACTTTGTTTTATACTTCTATTTTAAAGGCCAATATTCTGCACCACGAAACATTGCAGGTCTCACTGCTATCTTGTAAACTACTTTTTTATCATACAATAGACCCGATGCATTCCTCTGCTTCAACCAACCAACTTTAATAAGTCTTTCAATAGATAGTCGAAAATTAATTTAGTATAAAAATAGAATAATCGGCTGTTCCAGATTTAGGCTTATATTTTTTTATTTTAAATTTATTTTGATCATTAGCATATCATATCTAATATTAATCCGACTTTAATTTACTCTATCAATCCTTCATGGGAAGTTCTGAAGCAGTCCACCTTCTGGATGGCAAATACTTACTGGCAAATACTTCCTAATTTACAAGTTGCAATATGCTTACTGGCAAATACTTTGAAGTAAATAAGTTTTAGAGTTATTGATTTTTTTTAATTGCAGTTTTAGAGTTATGAACGATAAATCTGCAAATATTTTGAATCTCAGCATAGAAGACGTTTCCTCTCTGACTGCAATTTTTTTTTCTTATTTAATTTAAATTGCTAGACAATTTTCTTATTCTACAAAGCAACAATCATGAAAGTATTAAATTCTTATTTACTTACAAGACATAACAGGAATTGTCTTCGTATTTGAAACTATACTTAATTAGAGCTTCCTTGAGAAAATAAAAACAAAAATAAATAAAAGAGAGATCAATGGCAAAGCAGGAAGGTGATTCTTCGTAATTCATATTTACTGATAATAAAAATAAAAAATAAACTGATTTAACTCTTGTGATTTCTCTCATCAAATTTTTACATCAAAAAATGTGTTGTCTATCTGTTTTGTATTATTTCTCTGATTATAAGTGAATTATTTTTTTGTGGTCAAGCCGATCAAAATCTCTCTACCAATATAGCTTGTTGCAATATAATTGCATACCCCTATGAATGTACATATGCATGAAAAAAAATGTATCTCACATTTTTAAAAATTCAAATGGTTGTATTTTGCACATGAAATTGGCAAGTGTATGATGAAAGACGATGAACATCGACACTAACCAAGGCGAAGATGGTGGACTAATCCTCAATAACTTTTGCAAATATATAGAAAGAATGTGACATCATCCCCAGCACAACATAGTGTGGCACATAAAGATGTAGATTTAATAAAATTATTATTGATTAAAAGCAAAGTGCAAAAAAGTTACTAAAGATCCCAAAAAATGGTAAAATAAATTAAAAAAAATCATTAGTTTAGGAGTTCAATTCCCATACAATCTCCAGATTGGGTATGAAAAAATTTCAATATATGAAACAGGTTCATAACAGAATCTTGCAACTGCAGGACTTCGGGTGGATCTCATACATGATTCTACTAGATGTAAAGGTAAGCGGGACACGGTAAATTTTCCCCAATTAAGAAAGGCAAAAAAGACAAAAAAACGAACGAGCCATGTAATCAATCTTTCACTCACATCTAATGGAGCAGTTGCCATAAATGGATTTAATCACTCAACTTTGAGGATAATCTTCATAAATTCATAAACAAAGTAACTGATGGCAGCAGAGGGTAAAACCTGAAAAAAATGGAGTTAAATTAGAAAATAATTTGAATAAAAAAAATGCATGCTTTTTTTTTCGAGAAAAATAGATGGATGATTGAGTAGAAAACTAAAATGAGGGACAATAATATTGTGTGTGCGCGAACGCATGTGTGAAAGAGAGAATACATATTGCTATTATTGGTTCGCTTCGAGTATGTTGTAAATTTGCAAGTTACGTTTGTAATTAGCTAAAAGTTGGTTAGTAATGTGTGCCCATGATTAGTATCGAAATCACTCTTGTAATTAGTGTTTATAAGGATGAGGATGAGGATGAGGCGGTGTTTGGCTGCAACCTTACATTGAATATTATTTATCAAATCCAGTAAATGTGAAACTTTGTGCAACGGATATGAGCTCCCGAGTGATGGTGCAGGAAATTCTTAAATCTGCCTCTCAATTGGATTTAGTACATCCGGATTTACGTTATAAAAGATAGGGAACGGATGAAGAAAAAATAGGTATATCCGGATTTACGTCATAAAAGATAGGGAACGGATGAAGAAAAAATAGAATGCAAAAAAATTGGACATAAGAAGCGTTGGATTTAATTTTCATTTTATTTATGTTTGGTTGAATTTATGCTAAATCCATAGTTAAATCCTATTTAAACTATGCTACCAAACACTTCATAAGGATAGTTACTTAGTGACAAAGGTTTATATTCTAAAAATACTCATAGTGAGGGATGATGCAACAACAACAATAACAACAACAAGTCTTTATCCTACTAAGTATGGTTGGCTAAATGAATCATTTTTCTCCATTGCATCCTATTGAGTGTCATATTTTCATTTAATTCTAATAAATTGAGATCATTTTTTTATAAAATATACCCAAATCTTTCTAGGTCTATCTCTGCATTTCTTAACATAAGTCAAATTTAAAACATCTACTCTCCTAACCGAATCATGAAATGGGTCAACGTTTAATACGACCAAACCATTTAAAACGAATCTCTATTTTTTGTTTGCGACTGGAGCTACACTAACCATATCACAGATATAATCATTTCGCATTTTGTCTCTAAGTGTAAAGACAAGCATCCACCTAAGCATTCTCATCTCGACAACACTTAACTTAGTTTTATGCTTCTCTTTTAAAGGCAAGATTAAGCGCCATAAAGTATTGCACGCCTCACTACCATCTTATAAAATTTTCCTTTCAGTTTAAGCGGTACTTTTCTATCATACAATAGGCTTGAAGCATTCCTTCACTTCAACCAACCAACTTGAATTCTACTAATAACATCCCCATCAATATCACCATCACTTTGAACAATAGACCTGAGATATCTAAAATGTTCACACATTTTAATACTTTGATCACCTATAGCAACAACTCAGTCACTATAGATACTACTACTAATTCAGTTTTAGTTCTACTCAAATGAAGGCCTTTAGACTTCAAAGTAGACCTCCGTAATTCAAGTTTTTCCTAAGTTTTTTATCTAGTCTTATCCACAAGAGGAATATGATCAGTGAAAAGCATATACCAAGGTAGATCCTCCTGTAAATTTTCATTAAGAGCATCCATAACTAAAGCAAAAAGATATGGGCTTAAAGTCACTCCGTGATGTAATCCAACTGAAATAGGAAAATATTTGGCCAATCCTCATGTTCAAACACAAGTAAACACTCCAGTATACATGTCTTTACTCCAGTATACATGAACACTCCAGTATACATGTCTTTAATGACTTGAATATAAATCATATCAACACCTTTCTTCTCTAGAACTCTCCAAAGGATATCTCTTGGAAGCTTATTGTCAATTTTTTTCTAAATTAACAAAAATCATATGTTTATCCTCCTTATTCTCTCTGTGCTTCTCTATCAAACCTCTCCATAAAAGTATAGGTTCCATAGTAGATCTGCCTAACATAAATCCAAACTAATTATGAGAAATCTTTGTAATATGTCTTAACCTATATTCAATTACCCTCTCTTATAATTTTAAAGTATGAAACTTCAACTTAATTCCTCTATATTTTGCACACTCTTGTGCATCCCCTTTATTCTTAAAAATGGGGCCAAAATACTCTTCACCCACTCCTCAGACATCTTTTTAGTTAAAATAATATTAAAGAGTTTAGTAAGCCAAGAAACTCCCAAATCTCCTAAATATATCCACACTTCAATTGAGATATCATCAAATCCTACAGACTTTACACACTTGGTTTCTTTAAAGCCTCCTCAACTTCTCTTTTATTAATGTGGCGGTAAAAATTAAACATTTTATTATTAATAACGATATTAAGATACTAAGGTCGATCGTATTCTCAGAAACTTCATTGAAAAGTTTATCAAAATAACTCACTCACTTATGTTGAATACTTTTTATAAAAAAAACATTTATCAATTTTTGTCTTTAATACACTTTACTTAAGTTAAATCTTTACTTATATTTTTTCTTTGTTTGACTATTTTATATATATATTTTTCACACTCTTCGGTATTTAATCTATTATATCGATCACTAAAAATAAAATTTTTAACGTCACAAATTGTTCTCTTAGACTCTCTGCAGGTTATTATATTTTTTCTAGTTCTCTAAGCTTTTACAACCGAACTAATTTATCTTTTCCTGCACATTATTATTCCACCATCAACTATTTCTTTTATAGAAAATTTTCTTATTAATTCTCCAAGTACATCTTTTGTCACTTATTTAATAGTTTTTGTTACTTTATCCGACATAGAATTTGCTTCTTCATGAATATCCTGAATCTTGAAATTATGCAGTTTATTCATAAAAATAATTTTACTCATTTATTAGGTACCATCATCTAATTCTATGACAGTGATTCTTAATATTCTTTATTTTATAACTCTTCATCTTAAAATCCAAAACTAATAATCGAAGTTGAGTACTTAAATCCTTAATTGAAATGACCTTACAGTCTTTACATTCTCAAAGATATCTTCTTCTCATAAGAAAATAATCAATTGGTGTTTTATTAAATCAATTCTTATAAGTAAAAATATCTTTTTTTGAATAAAATATTAGCAATAACAAAAACACACGCTAAAAAATAATCTAATATGGCTCTACCTTATTCATTAATCACTCTGAAACCATACTCATCATGAATATTTTTAAAATCTTTTATCACTCTACCGACATGTCCATTTGAATCTCCTCCAATAAAAATTCTTTTTTCAAGAGGTATCATTTGTATTAAATCTCCTAACGCAACCCTCCATTTTTACATCTAGGGCTTGGGACCCGACAATGACGTGATTTTCTCCCTTTTTATCCTTCTTCATTCAGTTTATAATACATGGAGTGATTAAGTAGCTTGAATTGCTCAAAATTAAAATCTAGAATCAAGCCTTCCTCCCTCCATCGCAGATCTCCACATGACAATATTAAGAAAATAAGATGATATTTATAAATAATAGATTTAAGTACAATAGATCTATTACATAGAAGAATAAAGAAAGATGAGAATATGACTACTACAAATAATGTGAGAGAATAGTTGCCTCATAAGAATTATCTAATGAGAAAATATCTTAGAAAATTTTTAAAGATAAGTTTTATACAATCATGGTTAGGTTCAAAGTTGTATGGATTAGAGTATTAAGCACTCAAAAAATCATTTTTTATCTAAGTTAAGCATAGCAAAAATGAGAATGTTAAGAGGGTATGTGTCAACTTTAAGAAGGATAAATCAAAGAATGATTATATTAAAAGAAAGGTACACATTAGGTAATTGGAAATAGATTAAAATGATTTGAATATATACAACATGAGATGTTGACACTCATTAGAGGAATAGATAAAATAAAGAGAAATTTACATACTTAGCACAAAATCTTTATGTATTCACATATCTCACACCTAAACTTTCATATTTACATACATAGCACTTTGATGCTTTGAATCTATGGATGAAAATGAGGATTTCAATTTAAAAGAAAAAAAAATGTGATAGTGATATTTTTGATCTAATACTAGAGATATCAGTGCTATGTGCGTACACATTAAAAAAAATAAAATTAAAGTTACCAGAGTAAACTAGTTGTATCTCCTACTGCATATTTTAAACCTAAAAACTAAGTGGCCGGGGATCACATTCGATTTTTGTTTTTTATTCTTTTAATTTTCATACTTGAAATAAAACATATTTAATATGTTATAACATGTTAAGTTTTTTTATTAAAAACACTCAAAAAAAAATTAGATGTTTTGAATGTTATTGAAAACAAATTAATTTATTTTAAGAACAAAAAATTAAAAAAAATACAAAAAAATGAATTAAATAAATATGTTTTTAAAATTAATTAAAAAATAAAAAATAAAAATGATCCCAAACCCTTAATATACAGGTTCAATGCATGATATTCTTTCGTATTTGGCCGTATGAAGTCACTCAAGTAATATAATTAAATTTGAGAAAGAATCAAAGAATATTGTTTTACCATATAAATAAATATATATATATTGAAAAAGGATGCATTAGAATCAACCAAAACATGAAATATAAAGGAGCATTAAAATGCGTAGCACACAATTCTAATGTATTTTCATATCTCACACCTATACTTTCATATTCACAAACATAGCACTCAAATCATTAATATAACATCAAAAATAGTACTATTACCACTTTTTAAAAGTAAAGCACATATTTTTCACGCATAAGTTCAAAAGGCCGAAGTACTATGTATGTAAATATAAATGTTTCAGTGTGAGATATGTATATACATAAGATTTGCGTGCTACACATGTGAATTTTGATATTACCTGTAACATGCTTGGAATCAAGCCAGCATAAAGTGCTGGAACACCACCTTGCTCAACTATCTTTACACAAGTTGCCAAAGCACTTAATCTAGTTGCTTGGACCTGTAACTGTAGCTGCCTCCTTACAACTTCAAAAGGATATGTAGCAGCCTCAGCACAACAGCCAGAAATAGCCCCATACAGTAAAGTTCTCGTTGGGCCCAATTCGAGCTGATCCAACGCATTCAATTGATCTCCTTGTTGATTCATCAACGCGATTCTCTTCCTTCCTTCAGGCGAATGTAGATAAGCCGACTTCAATATGTCGTACACTCCGTAAAAGACAGCGCCGGATGGTGCCATGCTGATAATGGAAGGCACCAAACCCTTGTATAAGGAGAAGAATCCCTCCATGCGGACCATGTGTTGAAACGTGCCGATAACTCCACCTAATGCCTCACCTCCTGGTGCAACCATCTTTGTTCGGATCTGAATAATTGGAATTCAAATGACCTTAGTCATATCCTTCAAAGAGATTGGAGAGGGAGAGGGAGGGTGAGGAGTAAGATTCTAGGCGTGTAAACGAGTCTAGTCAAGCTAAAAAATCCATAGTTTGAGCTTGATAAATTAATCAAGTTTGAGTTATAGCACAACCTTAAGTCTATGAGTTTGAATCAGCTTGTTTATTATGAAATAGAAAAAAATAATATTAAAATTTTATAATAAAATGACATGATGAGAAGATATGAGATAAATAATAAAAAATCAATTGATTTAAAATGTAAAATATCATTTTCTAAATATTTTTAATAATTTAAAGATAAAATCTTAAATTATAATAAAATGAGTCTATTTATATTAGTATCTTGTTTAAACTGGCTGAATCATGAGCTAATGAATCGAGTCAGGGTTGGTTTGAGCCTAAGCAGTTTATTGAGTTGAGCCTAAGCCAGGTCATGAGTCGGCTTGGCTCAGTTACACCCCTAGGGAGGAATGAGCAAGGGGTATTGGAGAAAGAACGAGATTAAGGGGGCAGAGAGAGAGAGAGAGAGAGAATAAGACAATGGATTAACCATATCTTTAGATATGCATGGTAGACTTAATTTATGATTTCTGGAATTATGAAGTTGATAAAACATAATGTAAATGAGGTAACTAAACCTTAAAAAGTTACCATCTTTTGAACAAGAGACAAGCTACCTGATGTACTAAAGCAGGGGAAAAAAGAAGAGAAGGTATACATTCACATCCTAAATTGCAACAACAAATGTTGAAGATGATGCATACCGTGTCCATTGGAATGCACATTATTGTGGCGGTGATTCCAGCCGCAGCTCCAGCTATAAACCTCTCAAAGTTTGTGGTCTCATAGTTTCCGGAAAGATTAAGTAGTTGTTTTCTGTATGTATCATATGCACAGAAGTTTATTGCTTTAAACGGTGCAGTGCGAAGAATATTGACAAAATTTCCTCTCCAAAAGCCCTTTAAACCTTGTGTGGTGGCGATTTTCTTGATGAGCTCAGGCAGATTGCTCTGTTCACCTCGGACCATGTACTCCAATTTCAACCTCTCGAGTGGAGCCACAAAGGTCCTGAATCCAAAAAATAGTTTCCTTATGTGTTTAAGTCAACAATGAATAAAAATCATTTTTTCAGTAGCATTTTTGGAAAAGAAAGAAATTTATTAGGATGCCAACATAAGAAAAAAACCATTGCCACTTTAATGAGGATGACTCAGATCAAGACTGGTATAATTAGAAATATATGTCAAATACAGTGAGTCCCTGAAATTTCTTTATAGTATTTTAGTTTAATCATCCATACAAAGGATCATAATCATTTAAAGCAAATACAAAAAAAGAAAAAAAGAGATATCTATATATCTATACACACACAGACACGAGAATTTGTTTAGTAATAAAGATTGAAGACAGAAGTCCTGATCAGATAGTGCATCTCCTATCTTGTTCTGGAAGCTTCAGAAGCATATCATGTGATTGATGAATTCACAACTTTACACTAATTGAAGGTGAATCAACTAAACAGTTTGTTCAACACAAATAGAACGCTATGTTCTTTCAGTCAAATGCCTGTTATTAAATGTAGAAAATTGTAATTTAAATTTATGAAAGAAATTAATTTTCTTAGGTGTCGAACTCAAAACTAAGAAAAGGAACACCAAAAATTTCTTGAGTGTCGATCTCAACCCTAAAACCAGATTATGTTTTCTTCCTGATGAATCCAACTCTGTCTGGTGCACCGTGCCAAGGAATGAAATGTTGGACTAAGAGAGATGATCGAGAAAAGAGAGCAATAAGGGGGAGAGAGAGGAGGACTTCCCCGGCCTGGAAGAAAATGGGATGTATCGGGCCTTGTGGACCCTTGTTATTTCATGAAGCTTGATCTTACAAATGTGTGGAGCCAAAAAATGTCATTTTTATATCATAAAACCTTCTTATTTATAGGAGATAAAAGAGGTAAAAAGTATATAAAAATTACATAGTCAACTCTGCTTTAAAGAGAAGAAGCTGAGACCACATTAGTTCCTTTTACCCTGACCGTTAGACAACCTCGAGATTCGTGATGGAATTAATAGATCAGTTGAGAGAACTGGTCGGCCTACTAATGTGAAGTGGCTAGAGGAGAGGCATAGCAGACCGATTGAGGTGAGGTGACCGAAGAAAAGAGCTTAACCAACCGACTGGTGCGAGGTGACCGATTGAAGTATTTATGCCTCCATCGAGGACTTGTTTTGGCCTGACGAGGTCTTAGTATCATTTTATATCTATACATTTTAAGTTTCCTAATTTTTTTGCTCCTTAGTAGCGACAATTGCAATAAAAACAAGGAAATTTATATAATTAAATTATTAATCGTTAATGATATTCCCTGTTATGCACCCTTTGCGCTCTATTTTTATCAACATTTGTTAGGTTTGTCATTTTGAAATTTTTCTGTCAGGAAAAAGGTCGGTCATCGGGGGAAGAGCCGAACATCAGAGAAAGAGTCGGCTGTCAGAAGAAGTCTTAGAATTGTCTGCCCCATAGTAGAATCTTGGAAAAGTTCCCCAGAGAGAAGCCTTAGAGTTGCTTGCCCCGAAGAGGGAGTCTTATGGATGTTCGCCGCAGTGGGGAGTCTTAAGAGTTGTACACCCCTCGTGCAGCTTCTCTATCGAGTATTAATTTTGTGATTTGGTAGCAGGATGATCATTTATGCAACCCTCGCTGAGCTTGTCAATATCGAGTGTCGATACGTCCCATGGGCCTTTGGTGATCGTTAAATACTACTTACGGAACTTGTCGCTGTCGAGTGTTAACTTTTTAATTTGGGCATAAGATGATCGTTTACGCACTCCTCACGGAGCTTGTTATTGGGTGTCGATACGTCTCATAGGCCACTAGCAATTATTAAACACCTCTCGCGAAGATTGTCGTTGTCGGATGTTAACTTTATAATTTGGGCTCAAAACGATCATTTCCGTACCCCTCACGGAGCTTGTCGTTGTCGAGTGTCGATACGTCTTATAAGCCTCTGGCAATCATTAGACACTCATTGCGGAGTTTGTCGCTGTCAAGTGTTAACTTTACAATTTGAGCGCAGGACGATCTTTTATTCCTCGCCGAGCTTGTCTTTGTCAGGTGCCGATACGTTTTATAGGCTGTTGGCGATCGTTAAACACCCCTCGTGGAGCTTGTCGTTGTAGGGTGTTAACTTTATAATTTGGGCGCAAAACGATCGTTTACGCTCTCCTCGCAAAGCTTATAGCTGTCGGGTGTCGATACATTCCATAGGCCCTTATTACCAATCAGAAGATCTTGGTGTCGTCGTTAGTGTTATTATCCGGGTGTAGACAGAAACTGTAGAGTGGCGACCTATAAAAAATGATAGACAGAAACTCCTATCCATTAGTCAATCGTCAGATAACCGAGACCTCGATCAAAAAAAGAAATGAAAGGAGAGCAATAGCAGCTTTGATAAATAGATTTCAAAATAAATTAAAGGATTCAACATAATTGATGAGCTTAAGAAAAAAAAAGATGAGTATGTCTTCCTGCACATTAATAAAGAAAACTTGAAAAACAAAATTCCTCAGTCGAGATTAATTGATAGATGGTATGCATGATTTTCTTGAGCCCGCCAAGTTTCGACTGGAAGATGGTGGTTGATCGGAAGCAACCGGAGCAGCGGTCGTTCGGGAAGTGTTGTCGGTCGATGGGTAGCATTGAATGGTGGGTATGTACATCTGTATAAATTGATAAATTGAATGAAAAACAAGTAAAATCTCCACTTTTTATCTTAGGTTTCGCCAAGTGGTTGGCTTGGACAAAATATAGCCGCAGATTTGATAATTCTGATTTTAGACATCCATGGTTTCAGATAGGGAAGGATTGATCGGTCGTCTCAGATGATCGATAAGTGTGGTAAGGTCAATCAGAGGCAGACCGGTTGGAGGATAATTTGCTGGGGAACAAATTCAGTAGTATAAAATACATATAAGAATTGAGTGATATGTATGAAATTATGAAAATACATAAGAATTGAGCGATATGTATGTAAATCTACCCTCTTCTGAATTCCACAATCATCGAAAGACTGTCGAAATGCATGAACTTGAGTCTGTCGAGTCTTGACTTATATAGGGTCGAAGAGTTTGTAAATCTTTCTTCCTTTGAGAGTGTCAATCGAAAGGGGATGACGGGCTGAGAATTGAAGGTCAGTTGGAGATAACCGGAGCAGCGGTCAACCTAAGAGTGTCGTCGGTTGATGGGTCTTGTTACAGCACTGTTGCATTGAAGGGCCGCACCAAGCGAGGTTTCCGACCACCGGAAAAAATGGTCATCGAGGTTCCCTGCGAGCTTGTTTTATAGTAGGTTTAGGGATACCGAATTGCTCGTTCTTCCTATTCTGCAGTTGTAAAAGTTTTATGAGCTTAGAGAACCGGCTTTGGTTGAGATCGAATACCTTAAGGGTGTTGGTGTTGTTGATTTCCCATGAAATTGATCCATTGAAATTAATAGTGTTCAGATGGAGCCACGGAGCCACAAGAGTTTCGAGCGGTTCAACCATCTCATCGCCACTGGCAGATAGCTTCAACTCTCCCAAGTTCAGTAATCCACAGATCCACGCCATAGCCTCTCTAGTGAGTTGGTTATCGCTGAGGCCAAAGTGGGCGAAATTTTTGCAAGACAAGGGCTCCGACAGTTTTTCGCCAAAGAGACGATTGTCGAAGAGATCAATAAGCAACGCCTTTTCGATCATCCCGAGCATTGAGGTGATTTTTTCGAGCAATTCTATTGCTCCCAAGTTGTATCCTCTTTGGATTCAACAATTTTCATTGGGAATGATTCCTTCCTACATATTATTATAAAATATTAGGTTCTCCAATTCCATCGAAATCCCTCCAGTAAGAAAATTGTCGGTGAGGTCAGAAATCGTAAGCTCTTTGCAACTACCTAGTAGCAACAACTTGCACAACCATGCCTGATCGGCAAGCCGGCGGTGATAAGAGAGAATGCGAGTGAAAGGAGGTGTCTGAAGCCGAATGGCGATCGTCGAATGATGCAGCGAGGTGACGTGGTGCGACATCAAGGAAGCTTTGGAGATGAGGCGGTTGGTTCGGTGAGGTGAAGTAGTCGGGGAGTAGTCGGCGTGGTGGGAATATTTCGTGAGGTAGACGTCGGTGGGATGAATTCCAAGTGTTTGTATAGCAACCGAGAGGTGGTGGGCGAAGGAATCTGGTGCGGGTTAAATTTCGAGCGGGCAGTTGGGAGGGATGTTCGACGTGGTGAGGCAACCGAGAGGTGGAGACCATCGAGACGGACAACCTCACCGCGAATGACTGAATAAAACTTGAGAAGGAAATCCTTTAATCAAATTTTGGCCTGTGAGGGTTTCTAATGAGAGAATGACTTGTCTATCGTCTGCGTGAGGTTATTAACTAAAGAGGGCTTCGGTCTTTTTCACGAATGGGAGGAAGCCCTTGCCATCTTTGGCTACTGTTAGTTTGGAGTGATAGTTTTGAATGGGAGAAAGGTGAGTGGGAAGATGGGTTACTGATAAGATGCATATTGAGAGAAGGAGAGGGATGTGAATGCCAGAGTTTCAGTTCTCTCTGGCTTTTTTCTTTAATCGTGTTGTGCAAGTTCCCCTTATGTATTTTTATTTTGCCAGGAGTGTCTCTCTGAGGAGTTTCTCCCCAGTATTACTCATTTTCTCGTTGACGGCACGATCATCACCACACATTTTAGGATGTTGAATACAAATCAGTCCGGTGGACCATGCCCGAGGAATGAAGCGTTGGATCGAGTAGAGATGATTGAGAGAATGAGAGAAATGAGGGAGAGATAGAGGATGACTTTCCCCGTCGTGGGAGAAAATGGGGTGTTATTGGGCTCGTGCACCAATATTATTTCATGAAATTTGATCTTACAAGTGTGGGGGAGCCAAAAAGATTCCCTTTTACATCATAAAATCCTCATATTTATAGAAGATATGAGGGGTAAAAAGTATATAAAAATTACATATTCAATTTTGCTTTAAAGAGAAGAAACATAGGGCACTTTAATCCCTTTTACCTTGACCATTGGTTAGTCTCGAGATTCGTGATGAAATTAATTGATCAGTTGAGGGAACTAGCTGACCAACTGACGTGAAGTGGCTAGGGAATAGATCTAGCCGGCCGATTGACGTGAGGTGGCCAAAGGTAAGAGCCTAGCTGACCGACTGATGCGAGGCGGCCAACTGAAGTATTTTTGCCTCCGGCAAGGACTAGTTTTGGCTTGGCGAGGTTTTAGCATCATTTTCTATCTATACACTTCAATTGCAAGCATTTGAGAAGAGATTGACCTATTTATATAACCAGATATACTAGCATAGCATTTGATTACTGAAAATCCAGAATTCTGATGCTCCAAAACGAACAGAAAACCAACAACAGCAACCAAAATGTAAGAGTATTTGTCACTCACATTGGGCTATAGTTCGTACAAAGAAGCATCCACGCATGAATTAATTAATAAAACTAGAACTCAACTCCAAAAGGGTCACCGAGAAAGAATATTGTTTCAAGCAAGACAAAACTAACAGCACAAATTACAGCAAGAAACGGATCCAGGTTCTAATTTTGGACAAGATTATGGAAGAATTTGGTACCTGGACACCATGGCAGCAACAGCTCCAGCCCACAGATGCTTACTAGTATTAATAGCACCAGCTCCAGCACCACGAACTCTAACCTTCCTGTCCTCCACCACCAAAATAGCCTCCTCCTCGTCCTTCATCTCCTCCTCAGAGCTCTTCTCCCCATTCTTCTCCAGAAACCCCACAGACTCCCGAACAAATCGCTCATCCCCCTTCACCGACAAACTCGCAGACAAGAACCCACGCATTCTAACCAGCGACACCCCACAAAAAGAAGCCCTTTTGGGTGTCGAAACGGATGTTACAAAGGTCCCCGGAACGAGAGGGTCGAGGAACAACCCGCCGGCGGCGAACTCGCACGACTCTCGAAGCAGATCCTCTCCAACAACCTGGAATCGAACGGGTAAGGAATCGCGGAACCATAGCTCGATTCCGCGCATCGCTTCGCCTGAGGGCTACAAGAGGGAGAGGAGCGTATTTCTAAAGTTAGGGTTTTGGGGGACCGGCATTGGAGAATCTTCAGAAAGAAGAAGGAATGGAATAAAAAATTTCTTTTTGATGGGGGATTGAAGCATGTTGGCGAAGACAATGATGGTGGCGAGGATTATGCTTCAGCTCCATGCAACTAGGGCTTACATGTTGGAGCATTTCAGATTTGCTCCCTCTTTGGTTTCGTGAGCCGATTCTTCGCCGGCAATTTGGACTTTGTCTTCGGGGTGACGACGGAGGATTCCGATGACAGCAATTAAGGAAAATCTCAGATGGTTAGGTAGTATAGCATATGGGCTTCGCGATTATTAAATTTGATATCAGAATTAATGTGAGCTATATTTTAAAGTAACAAAATTTAATTAACTAAATATTTATTTTATTTTTAATTGATTTAATTTTCTATAATATCATACTAGTCCTAATTGAATTAGCATATTTTGAGCTTTTATCTTTTGAGATTTTGACCATAGCTTTTAAAATTGTTATCATCTAAATTAATTGAAAACATGGTGAAGTATTGAATCCAAATTTATTCTTGAATCACACCTCGAGGAAAAAAGATTAAGAGAAGAGAGAGACACACACACACAGAAAGAAAAGATGAGTGAATAGTAATGAAAAGTAAAATGTCATTTATTAACCATTTCTCATAAAATGAACTATATTTATATGGAAGAGAATACAATGTATTGATATTACATTTATGTCTTTAGATTTTATGAGAATTGTATATAATATTTTGTATATTTGACATATATGAGTGTATTGCTGAGCTGCTCTGTGACTCGATCGATGGGCTAGTATGATTTCGACTTGATGAGGTCGGCTAGGCTTAGCCATTGTACCAGTCAGTTGTGTTTGATTAACTTTGGGCCGACAAGATTGACTCGGTTGACTGCACTTTACCGATTGGTTGACCTAGTTTGGTTGTCAACTCTCGATCTTTGTACAATGAGCTCTTGTTGGCAGATTTTATCAATCGGTTGATTTTGGATGGAGCTGGGAGAATCATATTCCTTTGACTGAATTTGTTTATAATAATAGATTAAAGTCAATTAGAAGGCATTATATGGTAGAAAGTGCAAGGCATTATATGGTAGAAAGTGCAGGATATCTTTATCTTAGACAGAGGTGGGTGAAAGAAGATTGATGGGTTCTGAGTTGGTAGATGATGCCATTGAAAAGTTCATACTAATACGAGATGGATTGATAACAACACAAGATAGGCAGAGGAAATATTATGACTCAAAGCATTGAAATGTTGAATTTTAGGTGAGAGATTTTGTGTTTTTGAATGTCAGTCCCATGAAATTGATAAGTAGGTTGGTAGAGTAGGAAAGATGAGTTCGAGATTTCTTGGCTCTTTTGAGGTGATTGGTAAGGTTGGTAATTGTGCTTATCAATTATTACTACATGATCATACGTCAGACGTGCATGATGTGTTCCATGCATTAGTTTTAAGAAAATGAAATTTGAGGTTGAACACAGAGTTCATGAAGATGAGATTGAGATATAGCATAACTTGACCCATAGAGAGGAACCTGAGCGTATTTTAGCCTCTGATATGAGACAATTATGGAGCAAATAGATTCCTATGATTAAAGTTCGGTGGAAGCATCGATAAAAAAAGGGAAGCAACTTGTGAAAAAGAGGCTTATAAGAGACAATTTTATATATTTGTTTAATAGTTAAGTATTTTGAATGTTGAGGATGATATTTTTTTGGAGGAGAGAATGTAACGACTGTCACTGCAGTATACCAGTATATTTGTTGAGATTTGATTTTGTGATACAGTAAGACTTCCATGTTTATTTTTTGTTATTGAAGTTTTTGATATTTAATTTAGTTGTCTATTTTAGTAATTTTGTTTCATGCCTTATTTAATAAAATACTTTATTAGATTGTAGAGCAAACCTGATTATATATTAAACATATTTTAACTTATTTTTATAGGCATCATACATAAATAAGAGAAAGAAATGTTTCTCGTAGGATTTGTCTTCCTTAAGAATTTGGTATATCCTTAAACAATGGGGTTTTTTGGAACCTTCTGGTGTCTAATTTATAAATTGTTTTCAAGATCGTGTTCTGTACATATTTTTCTAGTTATTGACTATTTTTATATAATTTTATGAGTTGTATATTCAAGATGTGAATAGATTTTTATATAGTTTATATTTAATAATATAACATATTCTTAAATTACTTTTATATCCTTTTTTTCTTAAAAAAAAGCTTCATAAATATCTAGTTCCACATAAGGAATTCTTTTCATGCTATTTTCAGTTCCCAGAACAACGAAAATTCAGGGGGTGTGGAATGGGAGGATTTTTGTGAGAGAAAGTTAGATTTGGAGGACGTAGATCCAACATTGTCCATCAAACCAGTTGAGGAAATTGTAGAGCACTAGGTAGGCTATTGTTAACCTACTTCAGATTTCAATTTTGTTGATTTTTTATGAAGTCTTGGATTCTTATTTGTCAAAATATTGTACAAACTCAGATATACAGAGATTCACATGTATTTCATTGCATAACTTTTTATATGTTGTAGATTAGATTGTGTTGGACATATTGACATAGAAATATTTATTTTTTGATTGGTATTTTGTGTTGTACAATATTTTATATATTTAGACACGTGCATCAAACCTGATAGAAATACTTCAAGTAATATTCTGGACATTTATATAAGTGGTTTTGCAAACTTTATTTTTCGATATGTGTTGATTTTTTGCCTCCGTAATTATATTATTACTTTGTCTTTGTTTGGATATACCACTGTCAATATCACGTTGCGAAATTTTATATATCAAAATTGTTATAATTTAAATGCTTTTGTATCATAAGTATATACAATGATAAAAATTGAGAAGTTGCACATGGTTGTGATTGGGCGGTTGTATGTCATGTGATATATGCCAACAACAGTTATAATTTTTTGTATTGCCACTATGATGGATATTATAGGTTATATTTTTGTATGTACGATTAATTTATAGCGAATACATGTTTATTTTTTTCTTATATTGAAAGCTACTGTAGATTTTGAGTGGCTTACTAAGTTGTGGTTGCTCACCCCTGCTTTACACACATGTGCTATTTTAGGGAAGGGTAAGACTTAGGCAGACTAGAGACTTTTGCATTACTTGTGAGAGCCTCGTTTTAGATATGTCAGTATAGTAAATCTTTATTTGACAATCATGATGATATTTCATTTTTTTTATGATAGAGAGATGAAACCATGATTCTTGTATTTATTCATTTTGTTGTAAATATATATGATCTGAATGAATCTTGGGTATATTCATTTTACAAAACTTGATGATATTAGTGGCTCTGTATGTGAAACTTGAAAAAAAAATAGTAGATTCCTTCTAAATAGATCTTGGGTAAAAATTTATTGGTCATGACCTTGACACGAGATTACCCACCTCAATATTACAGGATAAATCGAGTTGGTTTGTGATAGAAATTTAACTAAAAATCATTAATACATCTAATTTCAGCAAATTCACAGTCAATTTGACATGTTGGATGAAACAAACACAATGCCATAAAAATTAGTCCAATCAAAGTTAAATCAAGCCTATATTGAGTTGTTAAACCATTTTTGTAAGATCTAACAAGCTTATAGTCTAGTACTTGAATTTCACGACAGGGTGAATCCAACGAACCCAACATCACTCAATTCATCACATCCTTAAGACAGACAAATATCTATAAACAGTTGTCCTATCAAGAGAAACTCTTCATACTGTTTAATATCGTAGTCCAAACTATTAAATTTTTTGCTTGGAGGCATCTCATAGACTCTATAGGTAGAGCCCTATCCATTTCATGAATACAAGGGGTGAGATCTTGAACTTGAGAAAGACCAAAGCTTGGAAGAGGCATTAATGAACAGTGTCATACACTAAAGATCTAGTGAATGTCGCTTGCTCCTACAATTGCCGACCATTAACGACCACTACTCCTCGGGTTGTTGACCACCATTGGCACCACTGCTCGTCGTAATTGAACACCTTGCATAATCATAACGTGTGCCTCATAATCCCAACGCACGTTGCAGACTTATGAAGCACTTGATGGAGTTGTGCATCGCCTCGAGGGTGGTATTACGATGCACCCAATGACAGTGTAACATTACAACCCAAATATGGTGCAACAATGCATTGATATACTTTAAAGTTAATGTAACGACACGCCCCAAAGTTGGTGCAATAATGCATCTTGAAGAAGTGCAATGGTGCACCCCAAGTACAGTATAACACTGCACAATAACTACATACAACTTTTGTAATTAGAATATTGTGACTTTCTTTGAACTCCTTAAGTTCTTCACTTACAACTCCCCACCATGCCCCACAACCTACATATATCACCGTAATTGTAACTTCATACTACGATCTTGCGATCAATTGACACTACCATGACTCGTCACTATGGTCTAGTGACCAAGACCTACATGGCTCGCATCACAACTCTCAACTCCCTCCTCTGCGTCATACAGACATTATTGTAGCTCACAATTACGACTACTGTGACCAAATATGACCAAATATGACCTACGTGACACACAATTTTCACAGCTCACAATTACAACCTACGTGACCAATTACAATTGACGTGGATCACAAATTCTATGACTTCCTACTAAAAAAAGTTATATATTATTTTGTTCACGTGGATGCCGCTTTGTTAATCACCTAAATTTTATTTATAATATTTCTACCTATCAAATTATTAGTATCACATAAATAATTTCATTATTTTAAAATTTTAAAATAAAATACATAATTTTACACATAAATAAATGAAAAAAATATAAAAATTAAAGTTTAAGTTAGATATGTAAACACAGTAATTGAGTGGTGTTTTGTAAATCTTCCTATAATATAAACATTAAATATAAATACTTGAAAATTAAAACATAAATGTAATTCATCTTCAAGTGCTTTTGCTAATAGATAAAGGAGCGGACATCCTAACTCCTAAGCCGTTGAATCCATCGTGACCCCACTTTCCTAAACGGACGGCTGATCCCGCATCAAACTTTCAACGTTGTATTATCTCTGTACCAGTCTCACATTCGAGAAAAATTATTTCATACGGGCTTGCGTCCGGTGACCGATCCGGATCATAGATCACCTGATCTACGGTCCCGATGTATTTCGGTGGGTCCCACCGAAATTTTTTTTCTTTTTTTTTTTAAAATGGAAATAATCCTGATGTACGGTCAGGATCGGACACCGCACGCAATAATTCCTCCACATTCGAGAGGAAAGTTTTGGTTGAAAGTACAATTTAATTTCAATAAAATTTAATAATTTTTATAAATTCGAATTGATCAAATTTTAAAGTTGCTAAATTCTAAAAATTACTTGCATGTTAATGATTGAATTTCAATAAATTATGACAATTTTAGAAGCATTTAAAAAAATAAATGAGAATAAATATAAAAAAAATAAATGCTTTGTAAAAAAAACACAAATAAATATCTCCAAATACATAAGAAAAACATTTGTATTAATTAATAATTATTATATAAAATAATGATTAGTAAGCTTTTAATAATTATTTGCTAAATAATAATTTCATATTAATTAATTATTAACGAATAATATAAATTAAGAATTATTTAAAATTTTATTAATTAATTTAAAATTTTAAAATTATTTTTATTCATCATTTCTTTACTAAAAAAATTCATTTAGATTTTTTTATTTATAATTAATTTAATAATATATTAAATATAAAATTTTCAACAATTTATTCACCGCTTCCGAAGCCCTAGCCCACCCCGTTTCGCACAAACTTATCTCCCTCCCCCCACGCGATTTCGCTCAAAACCACCTTTGTGAACGAACTTCACGATACAGTCGCCATTAGAGCTACCTGGTAAGTCAACGACGGGATTGCCGCTTACATAGACCATCGAAACTCCAATCTTTCTCATATTTCCGCTCTGCTCCTCCCAGAAACCTTTGAGGAAGGTAAGCCTGTTCGCGCAGGGCTTTCTTCCTGCTTTCGCGCTGCAATTTCCCCAATTGGATCTCTTCCGTTTCTTCAATCATGTACAACGGAATAGGGCTACAGACACCGAGAGGCTCCGGCACCAATGGTTACATCCAGAGCAACAAGTTTTTTGTTAAACCCAAGTCCGCTAGGGTTGACACAAGCGCCGCCGCCGGACCCGCAAATCCAGAGGGATCCGGAGGTGTACGTAAGCCTAATAAAGATATTCTTGAGCACGATCGGAAGCGTCAGATCCAGCTTCGTATTCTCGTACTTCAGGACACCCTAGCCGATCAGGGCTATACCGATGCTGAGATCGCCGAGAAGATCGAGGAGGCGAAGAAGGTGCTGGAGATGGAATTGAATTCATCTGGTTCTAATGATTCCGGCCGCCCTCCATTAAGCAAGAGGTTTTGATGATATTTCATTTATGCTTTTAGGGTTTCTGTTATTAGATTCTTGAAATTCCCGATGCGTTGATTGTTTTTAGCGGTTTGGTTGTTGGATTCTATTGTTTTTGTGGTGGATAAGAAGGCGGAGTCAAACAATGTTCTCAGCTTTTCTTCATTCCAGGATTTGGCAAATCCGGCAGATTTAAGGAATTTAAAGGTCTAGGAGTTAAAGGTTCATGAAATCTTTTTAGTTGCATCCAAACAGTTATCTGGATTTAAGTCGGATTAAGGATATTAAAAATCAAAGAACTTTTTACTATAAACATGGTTTAGCTAAGTAGAATTTAGTATATCTATAAATATGAATGCGGTGTAGATTTTGGCTCTTGGCTGTTCAATTTTACTAGCAGTTTGGCATGGCAGCTAATAAGTTTGGCTAAATTCTAAGATTTTCTTGGTTGTTATTTTTAGGATTCAACTCATTTGCTTTGAAGGTTGCATAGACTTTTAATTAAACCAAGCGATTAATCATTATTGTTGATTAGTATAGTTTTGAAATAATTTTGGATATTATTAAAGCTAATTAGGGTGAATTGGGGATGGGTTAAAGTGATGGAGTACTATGCTGTAGAAGTTGTGAGTGAACTAAAGGAGAAGTTTGTAGATAAATCACTTCATGATTTACTAAAACTTGGTTATCCCAAAATTTTTAAAACCGTGGATTTAGCACATGACTGAGGGAAAATATGATTTTAAGGAATACAAGATATAATGACTAAAAAGATAAAAATGTTTGGAAAGTTTAGGGCCAACATTTGACTAAATCTTGTAACCAAACATTCTCTTATGGCTTGTTTGGGGTCACTTCTATTTTTTATTTTTCTTTTGTTTTTAAAAACATGTTGAAGTCGTTCCCTCAAGGTCAATATCTCATTGATCTCAAGAGATGACTAATGCAGAATCACTCGATAGTGTCGGAAGACTCACCAACGATAATTGAAAGAAAGTTGAATTGACAACCAAAGAAAAACTACCTCATTTTTTTCATTACTCCATTAAATAGTCAATTGCACTATTATCTTCCCATCCCAACTGGGAGAACAATAATTAGGAAATTAAATTGCGAAAGTAATAAACATTATTTTCCCATCCAATTGGCGAAGCAATAATTAGGAATTCAAATTAAGAAAGCAATAAACATAACATAATTAAGCATGAAATGTAAGTAATTAATTTCCAAAATTCTTTTGTGATTGCATGGATTATGGAATTAAGTTATCACGCTTCCCAATTTGCATTAATTTCCTTCCGTATTTGCATTAATTTCCTTCCGTATTTGCATTAGTTTCTCCCGGATTTGCATCAATTGTCGACTCTCCTGAAGAACTTGACTTCGACAAGTTTTGTTGAAGGTAAGCAACAAAAAGACGTGGGTTTAAACGTTGGAGCTCTGAAGCTTGCAACCAAACAGAGTCTGAATTTGGACGATTCTTCCACTGGACTAAGAACTTGTAATATCCTCTTCGACGCATCAAAACAAATTGATGGTTACAAATGGTAGCAATCTCATCTCGTGGTACTGTGTTTTCTGGTATTCACATAATTAGTGTTACGTTTGGAGCTGGAGCTGATAGTGCAGAAAAGTCATGGACATCGACCTTGAATGAAGTAAGGTCTTCGATGTTAAACACAGGGCTGATGCCAAAGTCAGAGGTTAACTCAACAACATAGGCTTTAGTTCCCATTTTCTTGGTAACTTTAAAGGGGTCTGCTCAGCTCTCATGAAGCTTGGTAAAACTCCCCGTAGGAGAACGCTCCGGCCTTAAGCAAACAAGAACCATATCACCTTCGTTAAATTGTCGATCCTTACGTTTGAGTTTGCTGAAGCTGCATAATAAGTTTTGTGGAACGTAAGGCGTTGTTTGCATTCTTCGTGAACATTTCACATATAATTAAAAAATTCCAATGCAACCTCGCTTGGCCTGGGTGGCAATGGCAATGGGTTGATGTCCAATGGAGTGTGCGATCGAAACCCGTAAACCACTTCAAATGGGGCACAACTTGTTGATCTATTAACAAAGTTATTAAAGGCAAACTTTGCATGAGGAAGTACCATATCCTAGCTGGTAACGTGATCTGCAACAAGAAAATATAGTAAGTTCCCCAAACTCCTGTTGGTCACTTCGGTTTGCCCATCAGTTTGGGGATGAAATGCACTTGAGAACTTCAACTTTGTTCCCATTTTTGCCCACAGTCTTCCAAAAATAACTTACAATGTCATCTCTATCAGACACAATGGAGGTTGGGACGCCATGCAAACGGACAATCTCCTTCATGAATATTGCTGAAACTTTGGATGCATAAATTTTTTTATGACATTGATTAAAATGAGATATCTTGGAGAAGTGATCTACCACCACCATAATTGAGTCTTGTTGTCGAACAGTCTTTGGCAACCCAAGAACAAAGTCCATACTTATGTGCTGCCACGGTTTGTCCGGAATGGGAAGTGGTGTATAAAGTCTAAACTATTGCTTGGTCCCTTTATTGAGTTGGCGAATTCGGCACGGACCAACCATAGTATTCACATCCCTCCTCAGTCGAGGCCGATAGAAACGATTCACCACAATAGCATAGGTTTTATCTTACCCGAAATGCTCCGCTAAACCCCCACCATGGAGTTTGGAAATTAGAAACTCCCAAAATGACCCCACGCAGAATGCAAAGGCGTGACTTGAAGAATAAGAATTTCGCATGCAGCATGTAATCATTACCAGATGGTCGTTTATGCTTGAGATCATTCCATACCTTGCCGAAATCTTCGACATCAGCATACTCTGTTTTGAGACGGTCAAATTCTGCAAATTTTAATGGTAGATAAATATAACAAATGAGGCCTCCTGCTCAAGGCGTCAGCCACCTTATTCTCGGCCCCTGACTAATGCTTAATAAGAAATTCAAATTGTTGGTCTTGCATTCATTTTGCTTTGAGAAGTTAAGTGTTTCAAGAGCCATGGTCGGTATAAAAAATAAATTTCTTATGGATTAAATAAGGTTGCCAATGCTTTAGTGTTTGAATTAACACATAAAATTCCATATGATATACTGAGTAACGTTTGCGAGTTTCATTGAGTTTTTCACTGAAAAAGATAATTGGATGACCTTCTTGACTCAAAACACCTCCAATTCCCACATGCGAAGCATCACACCATACCTACAAATTTTAGAGAAATCTGGCAAATTGAGTTCTAGTGCTTGTCCCATTTTTTTCTTAATCTCGGTGATTGCCTTTGTTGTCGCGACACCCCAAACAATTTTTTTTCTTTCAAACACTCAGTGATTGGAGTCATTATAGTGCTGAAATTGCCAATAATTTGTCGTTAGAAAGTGGCCAACCCGTGTAAGCTTCTGACTTCAGAAAAATTCTGGGGTATTGACCATGCCTGAACAACGTGCACCTTTGCGGGATTGACCTTAACTCCCTGGTTTGAGATGATAAAATCAAGGAACTTGACACTTGCCTTCATAAACAAACACTTCTCCTTATTAATAAAGATTTGTTCAGCTCTCAAGACATTCATTTCCTGTTCAATGTGACTCAAATGATCCTGCACACTTCGACTGAAAATTAATATATCATCAAGGTACACTACAAAGAATTTACCCAAAAAGGGTTTGAGAATTTGCGTCATGACACACATGAAAGTGTTGGGTGCATTTGTTAATTTGAAAGGCATAACTAACCATTCAAACAACCCATCCTTTGACTTCAAGGCCGTTTTCCATTCATCCCCCGATAGTATACGAATTTGGTGATAGCCACTCCGGAGATCTAACTTAGTGAATCCAACATATCATCGAGGCGTGAGATGGGAAACTGGTATTTCACGGTTATTTTATTGATTGCACGGCTATCTACACACATCCTCTAACTACTGTCCTTCTTCAGCGCCAACAAAACTGGAACAACACAGGGGCTAAGGCTCTCTCGAATAAACTCTTTGTCTAGTAAGTGCTGAATTTGTCAGCTAAACTCTTCGTTTTTTGTGGGATTCATCGGTAGTGCAGGACATTAAGCAAAGTTGAGCCAGAGATCAAGTCAATAACATGTTGGACTCGTCGCAGGGGAGGGAGTTGATTCGACATTTCATCTGGCATGATATCTTGGAATCCTTCCAGCTAAGCCGAGAGCTCCAGTGCAACATTATCGTCACCTTGCGCTGCCACGTGTGACTATCATAAGCGCCAGATTGTCCTCATGCATAACGTGAGTGAATTGGCGCATCGTCAAAACTGGGCAAGCTTCCTTCGTTGCCTCAAATTCCGTAACCTGTAAAGGATCCAGAACAAACTTTTTACCATTAAAATCAAAGGAATAAGTGTTAGCATGCCCATCATAAATAACTTTCCGATCATAGAGCCAAGGTCGTCCCAATAACAAGTGGCAAATAGTCATAGGAATTACATCGCACCATGCTTCATCCACATATGATTTCCCCAACGAAAATTTAATCGCACAACGTCGCTTCACTTGGATGATATTAGTTTCATTAACCCAACTATTTCGATAGGGAGGGGTGCTTTTCTCTCTTTAATTCCAGTCGTTCTACAACAGTTTCAGAAATCACGTTCATAGTACTCTCATTGTCAATAATTACGTTCAACACCCGACCGTATGCTCCAGTCGTGATGAAAAATATTGGTTCGCAGCCACTCGGGATTGGCCTGAAGTTCTTTTTTTGATTCCATCAATTCTCTCTTGATTACGTAGCTAGGTAACTCCAACGCACTCAAATGCTCTTCTTTGCTCCTCCTCTGTGTCTTCACCCACTTCCACCGCCAATAATTCATTCTTGAAGATAAATGCTAATTTCTTATCTCTTGTCAGACACACAACAACATAGTGTCCAAAGCCTTTACACTTTTAACACTGGGGTCCGTCACAATTAACTCATCAAAACGGTTCGTGAATTGATCTACACTCATCGACCACCCCTGCTTGAGCTGTAACATTTCCTCAAACATCATTTGCTCATAATCAATGGGCAAATACTTTTCCTTTAGCCTCTCCTTCATCTCTTCCCAATTGGAGATTGTTGGACGTGGAGTACGTTGTAACTGTTCTTCAACACTTCCTCACCATGCTCGTGCATGCCCCTTCAATATCATCTGGACGTATCGAACCCTTCGATCCTCCGAAACAACAAACCAATCAAAATAATCCTCGATTGCTGTTAACCAGTCCTTGAACGCATTGGGTTCTATCTTCCCGTAAAAATCCGACACATCTATCTTCATTCTCTTGGTGAGTTCATTCAGAGGTTGATAATTTGGACCATGTTCGATGTATCCTTGGAGGAAGTTTTGCCCATGACGTCGGATTCGCGAGTCATGGTTATCAAGCTCCTGATATCCTTCATCGTCCCCTGCTTCCTCCGCATCTCCGTCACTTTCGTCCCTTCTTCCCCCCATGAGCAGTTCAACGCCCTCGTCGACTAATAGGGTCATACTCCTGTTGCACATAACGCTCATGCAAACATCAAGTCGATGATTGATTTACTCTGAAAGTGTGGCAAGTTGGTTGATTTGATGCTGTAGCTGGGTTGGTCTGTGTTTTTGTTGATGGGGTTTTGGTTGTTTGGATTCGAGTTGTTTGCCATGGACCCATGGTGTATAAACTACCACTACGGGTTACAGGCATGAGATGAAGGTTTCATAGTGAAGGAACCCGCTCTGATACCAAATTGATGTCGTTCCCTCAAGGTTATTTTCCCATTGATCTCAAGAGATGACTAATGCAAAATCACTCTACAGTGTTGGAAGACTCACCAACGATAATTGAAAGAATACTCCATTAAATAGTCAATTACATTACTATTTTCCCATCCCAACTGGGAAAGCAATAACCAAGAAATTAAATTACGAGAGCAATAAACATTATTTTTCCGTCTAATTGGGAAAGCAATAATTAAGAATTCAAATTAATAAAGCAATAAACATAACATAATTAAGCACGAAATCTAAGTAATTAATTTCCAAAACTCCTTTGTGATTGCATGGATTATGGAATTAAGTTATCACCCTTCCTGATTTGCATTAATTTCTCCTTGATTTGCATTAATTCTATCTGGATTTGCATTAATTGCTTCCGGATTTGCATTAATTCCTTCCGAATTTGCATAACATGTTTGTTTAATGTGTTTTTTACATGTTTTAATTTTTTTATTTATAAAAATAAATTTACTTGTTTTTGAAAACACGCAAAACAATTTTTAGATGTTCTGAGTATTTTTAAAGGCAATCATATCTTAATCAAATATCCCTAATCAAATATGCCTAACATATTTTATTTTAAAACAAAACATAAGCAAAACAAAAGAAAAATAAAAAATACAAAAGAGAAAAAAATGAAAGTGATCCCAAACGTCCATTAAGATTTAGGTGCCGTTTGAGACTCACTTTTGTTTTTAGACAAAAATAAAATTATATTAAAATGTGTTTTTAAAAACAAAGAAAAACAAACAAAATTGATTCTAAGCAAGCTCTTACTCAATCTGGATATAAGATTTATGAAATCTTAAAATAATTTATGCTTCCATGCAATGGATGATTAAATTTTGAGTCTTATATTGTTATGCTTGTTTTCCTGCTCCCGAGGCCTATGCAATTGCTCTTTTCGATCTTGTAAATACATGTTGAAATTTTGATATCCTCTCACATCCGTGACAAAATCTTCTCACTTCTCTGTTAGTTTTCATGAGCACCATGCCGTTATTTCAATGCCAACTGCTGCTCTTGTTTTTGTAGGATAGAATTGAAGTAACATTTCTTTATAAACTACATTGAACTTGGTAGATTCAATCCCAGAAGATCAAAATAAGATTGATGGATGTGATTAGTAGCTTCACCAGCTGACTGTCAAGGGTTATTGGAGAGCATTTTTATTACATGAAGCATGAGATCGGTTGACTTGGAAGCTCTTCCAAAGTTGTGACGCTTGAGAATGTCAGAGTAAAGATGCTTCATATCCGTTCATTCATTATTTGATCGTTTATTTGTCTGCTTTTACAGGTTTTCAGAGACACAGACGCATCAAGTTGCTGCACGTAAAGAGAAACAGATGGAAACTATGAGAGCAGCCTTGAAAATTGGGGAGGACAAGAAGGAGAACAAGAAACATGGTAACAATAGTACTCATGATTCTGAGAATGATTCTAGACTTTCTGATCCAGAAAGCTATTTTAAAGACGGAGATGACGGCAAAGAGAAGATAGGAACTGAAAAGCAAGGGTACCCCAAATCTAGCAAGAAGGAAAAAAGGAATGATGCAGATTCTGATTCAGAAGGAGATTCCTTGGCTAGAGGAAGAAAAGGGCACGCTGATTTTGACAGTGGCGATGAAAAAGGAAACGGAAAAAAGGAAAATTTGATGAAACCTAACAATTCTAGTACAAAACTGGCTAAGAACAGCTTTGAGATTGATAGTGCAAAGGAAAATGCAAGCAAAAATAAGAAATATGAGAAGAGAATTATAAGGAAATCTTCAGATGAATCTGGATCTGAAACTGATGATGAGAGCAGTACTAGAAGGAAGAAAATAGAGAAATACACAAAACCCCATGATAACTACAAGAATGATTATTCTGACGGTGATGGTAGGAAGAAAATTGTGAATAGAGATACTAGGCATGATAAAGATGGCAAGATTGCCGAAATGAAGCTTAAAGTTGAAGAGAATAAGAAGAAGCGGCATGACTCTGATGAAGAAAGGTCTGACTCTGATATTTATGGTAAGCGTCTGGTGCACGATAAAGATAGCAAGATTGCCAAATTGAAGCTTAAAGTTGAAGAGAAGAAGAAGCGGCATGACTCTGACTCTGATAGTTATGGGAAGCATCCAGTGCACAAAAAGAAGAGAAGATATGATACAGATTCTGATTCAGATAAAGTTCCTTTGGCTAGAGAAAGAAAAGAGAGGCTTTTGAACAAAGACCGAAGGCTTGAACCGGAGCACAGTGATTCGGATGGTGATGATAAAAAAAGAAGAGGCGGCAAGGAAGTTTCCTTGAAAAATAACGAGTTCGCGACTGGACAGACAAATAAATACTCAGATTTTGAGGGTGGAAATGAAAAAGCAACTAAAAAGAAGCATCATGAAAAAAGAGATGTAAGAGACCATTCAGATGAATCAAGAAGTGAAACCGATGACCATAGAAGTATTAGAAGGGCAGAACTGGATAAATACAGGAGGCCGACCCACAAGCACATGAATGATTATTCTGATGGTGATGATAGAAAGAAAAATTTCACTAAAGACACTAAACATGATAGAAACAGCAGGTTTGACCCTAAGAACTATGCAATTGGGGAGAAGAAGAGGCGATATGATTCTGATGAAGAGAGCTCTGACTCTGATAGCAACAAGAGGCATCCAGAGCACAAGAAATCAAGTCAGGATAGCAAGAAAAAGAAGAGAAGGCTTGAAACTGATGACGAAAGCAGCGACTCTTATGCTGGCAGGAAAAAAGAAACCAAAAAGAGTGTAGGACACCACAGCGCTCGAAAGAAGTTGCATTCCAATAGAGCTGCAAGCGATAGCTACAGCTCAGATTATAGCAGTTCCTCTTCTGATGAAAGCAGCGGCTATAGTGAAGAGAAGAATGACCAAAGAGGAGCACGGGCTAAGGAACTAAGAAGAATAGATGATAAATTTGATAAGAAAGTTGAATCCACATCTACTGCTAAAAAAGGCTTGAGCTCGAAGGGCGACTTTGATGCAGTAAAAGCTCGACCAGGAAAGGAACAAGACTTTGCTGATGGTAAGTTTGCTGATTTATCAGTAGTAAATCCTGATGTGAGGAGAACAGAAAGAGATAGCAAAAGGTATGATGTTAGTCAGAGGGCTGGTGATGCTCGCATGGGTTCTGCTGAAGAGAAACTTGATAGAATAAAATATGTCGCGGATGGGGAGAGATTTGGGGACAAACTATCTTCTTCAAGAGAACTCATTGCTGAAGATAGACGTGACAGCAGTAAATACATGCATACTAAGCATGATTATGAAGATGGTAAGAGGCAAAAGCACTCAGACAAGCATTTTTCAAAATCGGAAATTAACAAAGACATACATGAGGGTATAACTCGCATGGAAGAAGAAGACGAAAATAGAAAAGGGCCGGAGAACAGGAAGGTTTCAGAAGGTTTCTCCCTCAGAGGCAAATATGATGAAAGGAAGCGGACAAGGTATGAGGATAAGCAGGTTCCTAAGGACCTCTCAAATGAAAACTTTCATGGCAGCAAAAGCCGTTTTGAAGATGATCCCAATTATGAAAGCCGTCAAGGAGGCTACAGGGAAAAACAAGGCTCAAAAGAATGTGTCAGGAGTCATCATCATGAAGGTCGTCAAAGTGGTGGTGATTATAAGAGGAGAAAATATGACGAGTCTGAGAAATATTTGAGAAGAGATAGGGACGAGCGTGGGTATGGTGACGATAAAGGTCATCACAGGCGGCGCTAATACCCGACAATGGCTTCTTTCTTTTCTTGTGAGATGGGCAGCAATGCGGCGTGTCGTGAGTTCTGCACTTTATGCTTGTGATGCTGAATGATTGTGTGTGAGAAGCGTTATTCATTTGCTATCTTTGTGTGAGAAGCGGAATTCTGTTTTTTCTTTTATCTTCATCCTGTTTTATGACCATCTGATAGTTTGATGCATATGAATTAATAGTTCTGTTAATCCAAGACAAATTGATATATCTATGGCTCATTATTGATGCTGCAGGTGAACCAGTAGTATTGTAAATTATTAAGAAATCTGTTTTCCTTCAATGTCGCATTTTTCCTTTTTTTGCTTGCTGATCAAATCAGAATTATCTCTAACTTGACACCCTGGAATTTTTCACTTTCTTTTCAATCAACATGCCATGGATTTGAGCAAACTCTGCCCTGTTTTTTATTCGCCTTTTGATGCTGGTACTATTTAACCTGCTTGCACTGAGTTGCTTGAGCTTTCTCTCTGCATAATGTTTATTGTTTATATCATTTCATTTTGGTTTAAATAGTTATTATTGCTCCATTTTTCTTAATTTGTATTTATTATCAAGCTAAGCTGTTTTTTAGTACTTTTTCAGCTAATCATGAGAACAAAGCAATTAATTACTATGAACCATCCACATCAATACAGCATTTATGAGCTAAAAACACACATCATCGCCATCATCTCCTCCCTTCCATCCAAACTTGCACTCATGACAATCACACTCAATCACCACACTCCCAATTCCTTCTTCTTCCTCCCAAACCCTAAGCCCTAAAAGAACCTCAATCTCCTCCTTCCACCTCAACTCTCAACTCTTCTCTAACCTCACCCATATCTCTTCCAATTCATCCCTCCTTGGAACCTCAACTCTAGCCAACGGCTGAGACTCCGTCAGCTTCTTTAAATCAAAAACTGAATAACCTCTCCTTCTGCACTATGAAAGACTTCATCTTTTGCATCTTCTATGAAGGAAGGACTATCTTTATAGATTCAACTCTGAATTGAAATAGTGCTTTGTGATTCACTGAAGATATCGAATTGGTTGAGCCGAAGAGAATTGATTTCATGTCCCCATGAAATGTTTCATCCGATCCTGGTTCAAAGTAGTATCTTTTTTTTTAAAAAAAAATTATAAATGGTGTTTATCTCATAATAATGGTTAATATTAATATTAAAAAAAGGAGTTCCAAATGAGTATTAATTTTTGTCATATAATATGTTAATGATTGATTGTCTCTATAAATATAAATTTAAAATTTTAGGTTGAAAATATATTCAATATATGTCTTATAACAGAACATAAAAAAGTATGTGTATTGATGGTTTATGAGTAGTATGACAAATAAAAAATAGATCAAATCTCTAGTTCAAAATTGAGTTTGGATTAAAATGGACGAGTCAATTAAAACATCAAGCTCGCCTTTAATTGAATTTGAACTTTTTTTTTGGAGATTTGCTTCAAATCTAGTTAGCTTCAGTTTTGATCTTTATGTATATATATGCTTATTTATTTATGAATACATTCACATATTTAATTATGTGTTACATCTGAATTAATGTATATTTCTATTTATACATCCATTTTGTATGAATCTATGTATTTATGCATGTCACAAATACCACACAATTCTTATATATTTACATGTCTAATGCCTAAACTTTTATATTTGCATTGATATTCTATGAATTAAAATGCATATTTCATTTTTAAAAAGTAAATAGAAGTGATTTTAAAGTTGTTTATGTTATATGCTTGTAAATATGAAAGTGTAGGTGTTAGATATGTGATAAGGATTGTGCTATGTATGTAAATGCCCATTAAGAATTTACCTTAAAAAAGGTCTAAAATTGGTTAAGATAGGATCTTAAGATCTTGAGAGCTTAGAATCAAGTTTATTGACTCATACCTATATTAAATTTATATCAAATTGAGTCAAATCATATTAAATAATTTCGAGTCGATATTTGTTGTGAAAAACGACGACAATAAAGCGAAAAATGAAACAAGTAAAATTACACGAAAAAACAACACCATAGCGACACACAGATTTACGTGGTTCGACAAATTTGCCTACTTCCACAAAGCTACATAGGATTTTATTTCTTTGAGGAATTACACCGTCGAGCGCCTCGACTTTTACAAGAAAATCTGTATTTTCTTCTCCCTTCCTCTCTTTTTCTCACCCTCTTTTTCTCTCTTAGAGGACTTGGCATGACCTAGTTTGAGTTGTTTATGACAAGCCATAAGAGACTATTTATAGAAGCTAGGAGAACAGTAGGTGAGAGGTAGGTGCGTGTGGTAAGTGAGCAGTAGGAGAGATTTTTAATTGGGAAGCAAATTAAATTATGGTGGACCGTGTTTCCACATTACCCAACAATTCTCCCACTTGGAGACTGAGACATTGACTGCATCACCAACTAGCTACATCATCTACTAGTTGTACCGACCATTTCCTCAAACATTTCCTCAAACATGATATCCTCACATGATATCCTCCACCTCTGCAACTTAAAGCCCCTGCCTTCATGCCAGAAAACCAGCTGAAGTCGAGCACATCTTCAGCTACTCACGAGTAACACCCTCAGTTGACATATCACCATCAACATAGTCTTGTACCACTAAGCTCTTTCTTGGGTTACTCTTGTATCGGTTTACAACTTCCACTGCATAAGCAATATCCTGCCCCTGCTGAAAGACCTTTTTAAGAAGTTCAGCCTTGTACCTCTTACTGTCACCAAGCGCAGTCTTCACCGGTACACCCACTTGTCGTGCAATGTCTTCTTTCTTGGTAGAAGTTCAACCAGCTCCCAAGTCTGATTCCCTGGTACAGAATCCATCTCCTTCTTCTTAGTCAGCTCCCACTTGCTCGAATTTTCATCTTGCAAGATTTTTTCACAGTTCTGTGGTTCTCCACCATTTACAAGGTCCACTTTTCCTGCCTTTGGCGCTCTGCCACTTTCAAGAAATGAACCTTCTTCTGCTTCCCCATATTCCCCATAATTCCCCATAATGCACCTCTGACTCATGTGTCTTCGCCTGAGTAAACATGTAGTCATATATAGTGTGTCAGTTTTCTTACTCTGAGCAAGTACTAATGCTTATTTAGTAACCTTCCAGTTGCTATTTGAGAACACCACCGAATGACCACCCTCATTGAGCTACCCAACAAAGATGAAGTTTTTCTTCAACTCAGGAGCGTGTTTGACCTTTTGCAAAGTCTATTTGCTCTTGTTATGGAGTTCAATATCAACTCCCATCTCCACCACGCTCAGAGCTTTTCCATCAGCCAGATGTACCTTCCCAAAGTTACCTGTAACATAATTTCACATTAACTCCCGACGAGAAGATGTATAAAAAGAAGCCCCTGAATGTAGTATTCAGTCATCAACATAACAATAAACTGTCAGCAATAGCGCATCATGTATTTCTTCAGTTACAGCATTAGCGTCATCATTCTTCTTCTTAGGATTTCTACAGTTTCTTTTTATATGACCAACATTGCCACAATTCCACCAGATTGTCTGCTGACCAGACTTTGATTTTGATTTTTCTCTGTTTGAGTTCCTGTCATGTGATCTCCTTCCTGTGCGCCTCCTCAGCCAAAATCAAATCACGAATATCATCATATATTAGCTTAGATTTACCTGTAGAACTATTAACTACCATCCTCATGACTTCTCTGCTATTTGACAATGAAACCAACAATATCAACGCACACATCTCATCATCAAAATCAATTTCAACAGACGACAACTAATTTGTGATAGTGTTGAAATCATTCAGATGTTAACAACAGACTGACCTTCTGTCATCTTCAAGTTGAATAACATTTTCATCAAATGCACCATGTTATTCGCCGACAACTTTTCATACATACCTGATAAAGCCACCATGAGATCCGCAGTAGTCCTTTCTTTCATGACATTGTGGGCAACCGATCTCGACTGGTTTAATCGTATAACCCCCAGAACCTGTCAATCCAACAGATTCCATTCCGTTTCGTCCATATTTTCATGTTGCTTTCCCAGTAATGGAAGATGAAGTTTCTTTCTATGGAGATAGTTCTCTATCTGCATCCTCAAGTAAGCAAAATCTGTGTCATTGAACTTCTCGATTCCCAATGCCATCACTTCATTTAAGCCCATCATTCTTCCTTAGATTCGAAACCACTGTTCTGATACTTGTTGTTGTGAAAAACAACGACAATAAAGCGAAAAATGGAATGAGAAAAAATGCACGCAGAAAAAACATCAGAGCGACACACAAATTTACGTTGTTCGACAAATTTACATACGTCCACGGAGCTACAGAGGATTTTATTTCTTCGAGGAATTACACCGTCGAGTGCCTCAACGTTTACAAGAAAATATGTATTTTCTTCTCTCACTTCCTCTCTTTCTCTCTTAGAGGACTTGGCTTGACTTGTTTATGACAAGTCATAAGAGACTATTTATAGAAATTAGGAGAACGATAGGTGGGTGTGATAGGTGAGCGGTAGGTGAGATTTTTAATTAAAAAGCTAATTAAATTGTTGTGGACCGGGTCTTCACATTACCCAACAATACTGAACTAGAATTAAAATGGCTGGAGATTGGTTCAATAGCAACATGATTCAGGTAGATCTTATAATTAAATCCATTATCCCATCTTGCTTAAATTAACTTGGAAAAATTTACATATGTAAGCACACATTCTTATGTATTTATAAATCTCACACATAAACTTTCATATTCACATATATAACACTTGGATGTTATAAATCTATGCATGAAAAATAGGTATCATTTTAAAAAATAGTAATAGTGCTATTTTTGATATAATATTAAAGATTTTAAGTTTACAATAATAAGAAGAGCTTGACACTTCTACTACCAATTTAGTTGCACAATATCTATAGCTATAATCCTTAGTTAAAAACACTAACATAATTGAATACAATTACAGTATTTATAATAAATCACTGTTAATTTGCCTCTTCTATGTCCCAGGTGAGTGCTCAAATGTTTAATGTTTAATATTGATGAAGTCAGCCACATTCTAGTTTAATCATATCAATATTACTATAAAGTGTTCACATTTATAATTAACAAGTTTAGTTTTGGGTTTTCATATAATATGCTCTTGAAAATTACAAAGATTCAAATCATTGGCATGAATCATAGCAGTGTATTTTTAATTTGTAATTGTAAGTTCATACTAAACAAGCTAAAAATGAAAAAAATAATAGTAACAATTATTTTAA